GTTCTGTGTTTTTTGTATGTATCTGTTAGCACTGGTGCTGAATAAATATATTAAACACGCATTCTTCTCTGTGTATCATTCACCTCAACGATACAACACAAGGCTAATGAGTTTTGTCTATGGGTATTATTCAGTTTAAGCACATGATTGAAGCAGAAAGAATTCACAGTAGAGACCAGTGTTCTCTGAACATTTTTAGATGCAGCCCAGAAAACAGAACTTTGAGAGGGGGGGGGAGAAATAGAGAGAGAGAAAGAAAGAGAGAGAGAGAGAAAGAGAGAGAGAGAAAGAGGGAGGGAAAGAAATAGAGAGAAAGAGAAAGAAATAGAGAGAGAGAAAGAAATATAGAGAGAGAAATAGAGAGAGAGAATAGAGAGCGAGAAAGAGAGAGAGAGAAAGAAATAGAGAGAGAGAAAGAGAGAGAGAGAAATAGAGAGAGAGAGAGAAAGAAATAGAGAGAGAGAAAGAGAGAGAGAAACAAAGAGAGAGAGAGAGTTGGTAACTAGTTATCATGATGTGGCTTAAAGTCTATTAGTGCAGTGAATGGAATCAACAGGCTGAGTTCAAATTCCGACTGAGCCTGTTTCGTCCACTTTGCACTAATGCCCTAGGAAAAGGTATGAGTCGATCTTTTTCCAGCTATGTGTTAAACATCATAGTAGACTGGGTTCACTTGTTTTAGGTGACGTCAGTCTAATAGAAATAAGACGTTGAATTCAAAACCAGACTGAAGAGGGATGGGTGACACCAGGTTACCTTGCTCTTTTTTATTTTTGTGGAAACTTTCTTAAAAAAAAAATTTAGTTCTCAGACAAATGATCATTCTGAAATGCAAAATTAATTTGATACAGATTCTAAAATTTGATTCAAATTATAATTCATCAAGCATGTGTCACTATATAGCTTATGTCAGGGGTCAGCAACCTATGGCACACATTTCACACGTGGCATGCAAGCAATTTCCAATGGCACGCAACAGCAAATAACATCATGAAGTCTGAACCAATAACTACGACAGCACAAAGAAAATATTTAGCTGTTTCAATTTTAATATATACTAAAGTATATATACTATATATTACTATATAGAATATATCATAGTACAGATATATTGACATTGACTTGTATAAAAATACATCTCTTGCTGGCACACTGAATGATTTTAAAACCCTAAGTTGGCAGTTAGCAAAAAGTTGCCGACCCCTGGCCTATATTATAATGACCCCTTGTAAGGTCAAATGTTATCCAGCACAATGAAGTTGACTGGGCTACATAGCTATGTCTGTAAGCAAATATGTGGATATAGATTCGACAGTATGAAGAAAAATATTGTCTTTTCATGTTGACTTGAATATCGTCTAATTTTAATTATGTTTTAATAACTATGTCCTGAAGAAGGTCTACTAGACCGAAACGTCTGATGTCGACATTGAAACAACATTAAAACAGCATACTTGCATATTCGGATTTTTGTTTTTCCATATTTTTCTTCATAGCTATGTCTGTAGACAGTGCATTGATGGCACAGCATCAAAGGCTGCATATTCGTACCCAAGATGAGCCTTCAAGTTGAATGACATCGGCTGTAGTTTGATGTGGAGAAGGATGGGTTCTGTTAGGTTTACCTACCTAAGATACGTTACATTTGAATCAAACTTTCAACTTATATTTGTGGAGGCAACTGGTTAGGTACCCAGTTGCGCATCGACCCTACAAACACATCCGGTCATGGGACTGATGATGGCCCCATATGGTTTGGTTTTGTTTAGAGAGGTACATTTTGGCACTGCAAGGAAAAGTCTTAAGGAAAATGGAAACAAAAAGAAGTGACACTTATAATCAGAATCAGAAAGAGAGTTGAAATTTCTATGACACATAATGAGGAAACACGGCTTGGAAAATTTAACACTCAAAGGACATATCAAAGCTAAAAGAGACAGAGGAATGCAGTAGACCGTTTACATGATGAGCTTGTGTGAATAGGTTCACCTATCATTCAGTTCACTCTTTTCCCTGGTCTTTTGAACAGGAGTAGAGGTTTATCCCTTGTTTTCTGTTTAAGATTAGATTTCCAGTTCCTTCTAAAGTCTACTTCAGCTCTGTACTCCTAACGCTTGTTCTTTATTCTGCTAATACAACTACACATACTAAGGCTCTACCTTGAGTGGCTCTTGGGCCTTGTATTGGGTGAATATTAGTAAAAAATAAAGAAGAGAATTGCAGTGATAATCAAGAATGACATTTTGTAAGACAAGCTTGTCAGTCATTGCTCTATGGTAGGGTCTCCATATTTACTAAGCTTCTTTTAATCTGGACAATGTCAACCAGTTTAGGAGAAGGAAATCCTGAATTCAAAAACTTCCAACTATGGATAAATAGACAGGGTCCTATAGCCTTGGGTGGCAACCAGTCTAGGAGAAGAAAACTCTGAATTCAAAACTACCTGCTGCCTTATAGGTCCTATTTCTTTTGGCAATGGTAAAGGGAAAAATATTTTTAAGAGCTACAAAGGATAGGAGGTCGTGGAGAGCCATGTTTGCCCACGTCCTGAAGGGGCACGACATGGAAGAAGATCTAGCACACTAAACGAGGTATGACTGTACAAGTTTTGTAGAGGGCATTTTATGTTATTACGTCGTATTTGTCATCACATATCAATTGGCTGCCATGACAACAAATTGGCGTCTCAAAGAGAATTAGGCTTTAAAGAAAGAAAAGGATAGGGCAAACTCTCAATGAAAAAGAAGGCCGCCTGTTTCAGGTCAAGTAGTCACACATGACACTCCTGTTAATAACTGAGTTTTTGCCATCAAATGACAATGAAATGTGGACACTCTAGATTTCCTTCAAGAGGAAAAAACTTTATGGACACAGCGAATCACAGTGAAAGGTTTGGGTGGAGACCTTACCAGAAAGAAACAGAAAATGACTGCATAGCTAACAAGTTCGTCTCACAGTAATGAGTTTTTACTAAGTGCTCCACACAAAGCCTTGGTAAGCTCCATAAACAGGTCTACCTTGTCATAGGATAACGAACTAGTTAAATAAACTATTAATAAATATGTAAGTTTGATCTTCATTGTGTACTCCTTACTTGAGACCTAGTGCCATACTAACCTTTTTTTAGACATAGGTGATGATGGCTCTCCACAGATTCCTTTTCTTTATTATCAGCAAATTGCCAAGACTTCTTGGGAAGGATAGAGAAGTGCTTTCTTGTTGCCTTGAAAAAAACTGATCCGAAATCATGACAGTAGTCATGATTTCTGATCTTTTTCTCTTCAGGATATAAGAGCATATGGCTCTCCACAGCTTCAATTTCCTTTATATTCTGTGAAAATTGCTATGAGTTTTTGTGAAAGATTGTGCATTGGTTTCTCATTTCTCTCTCAATGGTTTGGAATTCAGAGTAGTTTATTTTTTTCCTTCAGGACATAAATGATCATAGCATCCTTTCCTTTCATTTTCTGTGAATATTACCATGATTTCCTGGGAAGATAATGGAGTGGCTTTGTAGACAAAAAAAAAAAAATGATGATGGGGGGGTCACAAAGTGCAGTGCCTACTTCGACTACCTCTTTGTTCAACTGTCAATCCGCATGTCCATCTCTATTGCACGCTGTCCGCCAAATGACTTCGATTCACTTGTGCTGCTGGCACCCTGCTTTTTATGCTACAGCCAAAATTTGCATGTGTGCAAATATCGTCTCTTTTTGGATGAGATAGGCATGCATAAATTGCGTCTTCAACAGTGGCCATATTTCTTTTTCATCATCACTTTACAGGCAAGACACGTTCGCGCTCGTTTCGAATTCTGAGGGAAGTCATGTCTTTTGTCACAGGCTTCCCACTACCTTTTCGATGGCTTGGAATTCAATGTGGTCATTCTGCCTTCAAGACAATCATGACTCTCTACAGCTTCCTTTTCTTTTCTTTTCTTGTTTTCTTCTCCAGAGCGTTATGTTCAGAGGAGTCTTTCTCTTCTCAGAATGATCACCACTTTCTACAATTTTTTTAATTTTATTTTCTGTGACAGTTGCCATGACTTCTTGGGAAAGATAGTAGAATGGTTTTGCATTGGCTTCTTTTTTACTGGCTGGAGATCCTAGTCTACCTTGCTATCCTTATAGCTGCTGTGTGTGGGGGTGGAGGGAGAAGAGATGGATTCGTGCATTTCCCAATTTTACAAAAGGGAATACAACCAACAAGGCCAGAATTTGAACTCAGTTTGTGTATTTCACTTTTTGCACCAATAAGTGTTATACTAGGCTTAGTGGTGCCTTGTCACGGGAGGATGATTAACAAGTTGGTCAAGCAGATCGTTATGACTGAGTAGTGAGTTCAAAACCTTATTGTGAAACGCACACACATGGCCTTGTGCCAGCCTATTCTTTTCATTTTCCAACTCTTATATTTCATTCTGTACAACACAACTCATCTGAACAGTAGTTCCAGTAAGTTGAAGATTTTGAAAAATTCTTCAAAGAATTCCTTCAGAATCGTTCTTTTGTGCTGGAATACACAATTTAGCTGACATGGTATAAGGAAGACGGCGGGGGGGGATTCTTAGATGACTGAATAATAATATCATAAGAAAATTTGGCATAAAATGCTGGAAACTTTTGCAATAAACATACAGATGGGAGTTTCCCCACTATCTGTATATAATTGATACTTGATTTTTATTCCCAATCATTTTGGTGAAAGTTTTTGATATTATGATTTAAATATGCGAAAATTATCAATAAAAATACAGATTAGATTTTGCAGGTAGATTAGATAATATGAGAAAAGGAAAAAAGTCTTTAATAGTCATTTGCTTTTCTTTCTATCTCTCTGTCTCTCACTCTGTGTGCATATGTATGTGTGTGTTTGTGTGTGTGTGTGTGTGTGGATAGCTTTGTAGGTGATAAATTGGTTGAGAAAAAGATAAAAATCAGGTCAGAATTTCTATTCACAAACAATTATTCATCCTGATATATTAAATAAAGTGGTTAAGGTTAAAAGAAAGAAAGAAAGAAAGAAAGAAAGAAAGAAAGAAGCAAGAGAGGGAAAAATAAGAAAGAAAGGTAAAAATCCAAGAAAGAAAAAGGAAAATGAAAGCAAGAAAAAAAGAAGAAAAAGAAAGCAAGAAAAAGAGGAAAAAGAAAAAGAAAGAAAGATAAAAGGAGAAAGAAAGAAAAATCAAGAGGAAGAAAAGACAAGAAAGAAAGAAGTAAAAGAAAGCAAGAAAGAAAGAGGGAAAAACAAGAAAAAAGAGAAGAAAGAAAGAATGAAAGGTTGGAAAAGAGCAAGAATGAGAGAAGAAAGATAAAGCAAACAGTAAAGAAAGAGGAAAAGAAAGAATGAAAAAAAGAAAATAAGATGGAACAAAAGAAAGAAAGAAAGAAAGAAAGAAAGAAGGAAAAGCAAGAGGTGACATAAGAAAGAAAGATACAAAAAGCTAGAAAGAAAAAGGAAAATGAAAGCAAGAAAAAAGAAGGAAAAGAAAGCAAGAAAAAGAGTGAAAAGGAAAAAGAAAGGAAGAAAGAAAGAAAGAAATATAAGGCAAGTAATAAAAAAGAGGAAAAGAAAGAATGAAAAGAAACTTTGATGGAGGAACAAATGATAAATTAGTAAAAAAAAAAAGAAGAATTAAGGAAAGAAAGAAAAAAGGAAAGAAAGATGATAAAGTATGATTAAAAAGAAGAATAAAGGGAAGAAATATAATAAAAGAATGAAAAAAGAAATGAGAAGATAATAATTAAAGAGATGAACGAAAGAAAGGAAGAAATAAACAAATAAACAAGCAGAACAAAAGCAAGCAAGAAAGAAAGAATGACCATGAAGAGAGAGAAGATAGAAAGAAAGAATGGAAGAATTATAGTAAAAGAAAGAAAGAAAGAAAGAAAGAAAGAAAGAAAGAAAGAAAGAAAGAAAGAAAGAAAAAGAGTTGTAAGAATGAAACAAAAACAGAAAAAGAAAAAAGAAAAAATGAGAGGAAGAAAGAAATGGAAGAATTATAGCAATGAAAAGAAAGAAAGAAAGAAAGAAAAGAAAGAAAGAAAGAAAGAAAAAGAGTTGTAAGAATGAAACAACAACAGAAAAAGGAAAAAGAAAGAATGAGAGGAAGAAAGAAATGGAAGAATTATGGCAATGAAAAGAAAGAAAGAAAAGAAAGAAAGAAATAAAGAAAGAAAGAAAGAAAGAAAAAGAGTTGTAAGAATGAAACAACAACAGAAAAAGGAAAAAGAAAGAATGAGAGGAAGAAAGAAATGGAAGAATTATGGCAATGAAAAGAAAGAAAGAAAGAAAGAAAGAAAGAAAGAAAAGAAATGGGATGAAAGATAGAAAGGGAAAAAGCGAAAAATGAAAGAAAGAAAGATTATCAAGAAAATAGCTGCATGAAAGAAATGGGAAGAGAGATAGAATGAATGTAAGAAAAGAAAAAACAAGGAAAGAAATATTAGAAAGGCAAAAATGAAAAGAAGTAAAAGAACTGAAAATAAATACCTAAAAACAACAAAAACAAAACAAGAAAAATGAATTTTAATCAAAAGCTAACAATAAAAAAAATAAAATAAAAAAAAGCCCCTCCTCAACAGAAGATGAATAATAAAATATAAAAAAGACAGGAAAAAAGTCATAAGTTTTTCCTGCTATCTTAGTAAAATGGCATCAATCCACCTGGACTTGCTGACAAATCCTTTATGCTGATCTAATCACAGACAAAAAAGATAAGAGATAAAATCTAGGCCAGGCACATAGCACTTATTAAAGGAAAGAAAGTACGTCCTTAGAATATTATCTCAAATATCCTGTATTCCAACCCCAGCTCAGTTGAGGGGGTCATCTGTATATCTCAAGTTTGAGTAATGGATCTTTTCCCCCCAGAATATAAATTAATAAAAACCTGACCTATTCTACAAGGCATGGAAAGACATAACTAGATAGTAAGTACTTCTGGTGTATTATTACCTTATGCCTTGGTGTATCGGTTAAGAAAGAAGGAAGGGAGGAAAGAAAGAAAGAAAGAAAGAAAGAAAGAAAGAAAGAGAGAAAGAAAGAAAGAAAGAAAGAAGAGGTGAAAAGAATGTAATAGCAAAAGGAAGAGGAATAAGAAATAAAAATGAAGAGGAAGAAAGAAATGGAAGAATTATGATAATGGTAATAAAAAATTTTAAAAAATGGAAAAAGAAATAATAAAGAAAAAGGAGAATAATAAGTAAAAATGAAAAGAATAATAAAAAAGAAAGAAATGGCAAGAATGATTGAAATGGGTAGAAAGAAAGAAAGAAAGAAAGAAAGAAAGAAAGAAAAAGAAAGAAAGAATGAAAGAAAGAAAAACAAAGAAAGAAAGAAGGAAAGAAAAACAAAGAAAGAAAGAAGGAAAGAAATAACAAAAGAAAGGAAGGAAGGAAGAAAGAACAAAAGAAAGAATGAAAGAAATAATGAAAGAAAGAAAACAAAAGAGTGAAAGAAAGAATGAATGAATGAATGAAAGAAATAATGAAAGAAAGAAGGATAGAAAGAAATGGGATGAATAAAAAAGAAAGAAAAAAGAAAGAAAAAAAGAAAGAAAAAAGAGGTGAAAGGAATGCAATAATGAAAGAAAGAGGAATGAGAAAGAAAAAATGTGAGGAAGAAAGAAATGCAAGAATTGTGGTAACTGAAATAAAGAAAGACTGAAAGAATGAAAAAATGAAATGGGCTGAAAGATGGAATTGAAAAGGAAGAAAAAAGAAAGATAGAAAAAGAAAGAATAAAGAAAAAGAGGGCTGAAATAAAGGAAAAAAGAAAGAGAGAGTATTAATTAAACAAGAAAAAACAAGAAAGTAAAAATGATGTGACTGATTTTTTACAGTTTATCAACCCTTTGTGCGTTATTTAAAGCTGAGTAATAATTATAAGAATAATTCTTTTTTTTGCGAGTGAATAGTGCATTAACAATTTTTGGGAATAATAATGAATTTCCAGATACAAGTCCTACTATTTAATCCATAGTTTTCCCATGGCACGTAAATGAATGCAATGAGATTGAGTCTCTGATTTATCATTTTGAGTCATTATCTATTACACCACCCACACACCTGTGAATGGCGAAAAAGAAAAAAGAGAGAAAAGGAGAGAATGAGAGAGACAAAAGAAGAAAAATTAAGGTTTTCAATGAAAGAAGAAAAAAGTAAAAAAAGGAAGGGATAAAGGGAGAGAGAGAGAGAAAGATATATATATATATATATATAGAGAGAGAGAGGGATGGAGAGATAGAGATGAAGGTGTACAAAGAGAAAAGACAAAAGGTGTAAAATTAAGGTTTTCAACGAAGGAAAAAAAAAAAAAAAAAGGAGGAATAAAGGGAGAGAAAAGAAAGAAAGATAGAGAGAAAATGAGATATATATATATATATATATATATATATATATATATATATAGAGAGAGAGAGAGAGAGAGAGAGGGGGGGGATAGAGACAGAGATGAAGGTGTACAAAGAGAAAAGAGAAAAGGAGGAAAATGATGGTTTTCAAGGAGGGAAAGATATATATATATATATAGAAAGAGATAGAGAGAGAGATGAAGGTGTACAAAAAAGAAAAAAGGAACAAAATTAAGGTTTTCAAGGAAAGAAGGAAAAAGTAAAAAAATGAAAGGGATAAACAGAGAGAAAAAGAGAGATATATATAAAGAGAGAGACAAATGGAGAAAGGAAGAAATAAGAGAGAGAAAGTGCAGAAATATATATATATAAATATAAATATATAAAAAGGAGCAAAATTAAGGTTTTAAAAGAAGGAAAAAAAAAGGTTTTCAAAAAAGAGAAAAAAGAGGGATAAAATAAAAGAGAGAAAATATATATATATATATATATATATATATATATATAGATAGAGAGAGAAAAGAGGAAAGAGAGATGAAGGTGTACAAAGAGAAAAGACAAAGGGAGAAAAATTAAGGTTTTCAAGGAAGGAAGAAATAAGTAAAAAAGAGAGGGATAAAATGAAAGAGAGAGAAATATATATATATATATATATATATATATATATATATATATATATATATATAGAGAGAGAGAGAGAGAGAGAGAGAGAGAGAGACTGACAGAGAGACAAATGTGTATAAAGAAAAGACAAAAGGAGAAAAATTAAGGTTTTCAAGGAAGAAAGAAAGAAAAAAAAGAGGGTCAAAAACATGCAAAGAGAGAACACAAAATGTAAGTTTTGGAAAGAAAGAAAGAAAGAAAGAAAGAAGGAAAGAAAGAAAGAAGATGAATGAAAAAAGAAGATAAGTGAAAAGATGAAAAAGAAAGAAAAGATGGAAATAAAGGAATAAAAAACAGGGATAAGAAAAAAGACAAAAGAAGGAAAAAAGAATAAATTTGAGAACGTGAAAATCTAAGAAAGGAAAAACTGGTAAAAGACAGAAATTATTCAAGGAAGTAAGGACAAAACTTATAAATGAGAAAGCAATGGTATGAATGATTTGTTTTTTATGGATTGTCAACCCTTTGCAGGTTATTTAAAGCCAGAAAACATTTTTTTAGATTGTAAAATTTTTTTATTTTTTTAGATAATAATAGTTTACAAGTCTTATTAATTAACCCATAGATGGGGGAGAAGAGGTGGATTCATCCCTTTCTCGATGTTATTTATGTATAAGTGAATATAATGAACCCAATGAGAATTTGGAACTCAGCTCTCTGATTAATAATTTTGATCCACTATCCATTATACCATCCGCATATCTTAGCACCTGGTATTCCCAAGCTGTTCCCCATCTAGGTACAGTCTCGATGCTGTTTAAGTTCGGTGATTGTACCGGAACCAGTATTTCAACGGGATATGGCCATAAGATTACAGATGATAGTTTTTCAACTAGTAGATATACATTCTAACAGCAGTTCGGCTAAGATTAGTCATTTGTCATTAGTGAGTAATTAAATGTCACAACTATTAATGTCAATTAAATATTCTGAGAATATCCTTAATTTTGCTAAGGAAATGAACTTTTAATTGACCTCATTAATAACATCACTATTAATTGACCTCACTAATAACATCATTGCAAATGTCATATTGTTTCTAAAATTCTTCATGTATGTTTGTGTGTGTACAGATTCAGATATCATATTTAGGGCACCTGTTCTGGTTTTTGTCCACTTACAATAGATAAATAGTCCTTTGTTCTCACCCTCCTTTACGACCATGTCAAAAAATCAATTCATGAGCAAGAGGGAGAGCTTATCGTTGAAAATGTCATATTGTTTCTAAAATTCTTCATGTATGTTTGTGTCTGTACAGAGTCAGATATCATATTTAGGGCACCTGTTTTGGTTTTTGTCCTCTTACAATAGATAGATAGTACTTTGTTCTCACCTTCTTTTATGCTTTAACCTAGGGAAGGTTACTGAATTCACACGTAGGTTGGTAATGAACGATAATACTTAGGACAAGCACAACACATATAAGATTCACCAGCAACACGTAGGAGAAGTAATCAACTGCTAGAAGTGAGTCAACTGAATTCCACAATGAATCTCCAATTGCAGACCAACATACAGTATTTACTACTGTATTTATGTGAATGGGGACATACCCATTATCATCTGTAGGTATGCTAAAACACTTTACGAACATGTCAAAAAATCAATTCATGAGCAAGCGGAACATCTCATCATTGCAAATGTCATATTGTTTCTAAGATTCTTCATGTGTGTGTGTGTGTGTACAGGTTCAAACATCATATTTAGGGCACCTGTTCTAGTTTTTGTCCACTTACTGATGTAATGAATATGCATACACCTGGTTCCCCCTCACAGTAATATGATTGTCTGGTGTTAGCCATAAATACAGACTGATGTGGAAGGTACAGGATGATGCCTATTGGCTACCACTACAACAAGGACCAGTCCATTACGGTTATCTGCTAGATTGTCCTACTCAGTTACAGTAGTCCAAAACCACTTTACTACTTTGAACAAATATATTCCTTTTTGGGACATATCATTTACAATAGATAGTCCTTTGTTCTCATCTTCCTTTATGACCCTGCCATAGAACACTATCATTCTTTAGTATTTGACCAATGATAGCATCATTATTAATGGTCAAAAAAAAAAAAAGAAGATAAATAGAATAGTTACTTGTGAACATGAACTTCATATTTTGAAGATGCTGATAAAGGATGTAATTCCCCAGGGAATTTTTAGCAGATACCAGATACTTTAGAAAAGGAAAATTATTTAGTTCATCCATTTCAAAAATGTTCCTTTTTTTTTTTGATAAATATTCTACTTATAGATAACAAAGCTCTTACCAAAAACCGTCAGATACGGAAGTAATAGTTGCATGTAAAAAGTGAAAGGTTTGTAGTGGCACTGCCCCTAGTCAAAGTAAAATAATGGCAACCAAAATTTATCATATGAAAATGGTGGATTGCCATTACTTATATGAAAGGAAATGGAATAAATGATGATCTTTTATATTTTTGCTTTTATATAACTGGGTTTAAAAGGGGGAGAAAATACAAAATATGAAGGGGAAAGGAAGAAAAAGTTAAAAGTTGGCAATTGTGTGGGTGAAAAAGTTAAGTTACTAAGGGGAATGATATCCCCATGCCTGGGAACAAGGTTTGTTTGACGTCACTTCTACCACATGTTAGAAGGAAAAGAGAGAAACGTGAAAGAAAGACAGGAAGTGTCCAGTTTTTAAAACTGCTTAACAGCGCCACCTAACAACATATTGGTGAAACTAAGAGAGAGTAACACACAGGTTAAAAAAACAGTTTAAAAAATTGTTTAAACATTTCTGGCTTCCATCAAATTAACACTGAAAGGTATGTGGTTTTGGGTCTTGTTGAACTTTCGATCTTCTGGGAAGGCTTTTCCTCTTCTCATTATTCAGGCATTGATATAACTTCTTGTTATCCTGTTCCCTTGTGTGTGTGTAGATCTTAAGTTCAGCTGGGTTCACTTCCTTGATTACGTTAATGCATGCGCCAACATTATTCAAGGCCATATTGTGCACTTGGTGGCTTTGAGGACACCTTCTAGAGTAACCCTAGCTCCTAGGACTTTTGATATTCTGAGGTGACACAAAACCTTTTTTGGTATCTCTTTGGTTGAACCCATGACATAATAGTGCTTTGTATAAACATTAATGTTTTCTGAAATAGCTAAAGTGATTTTTTAGAAAATTTTTTGCACTCTACTGACAACCTGTTTTTATATACAGTAATGTTTTCAGAAATAGATTTTGTAATGTTTTGCAATATAGTGCTAGCCTGCTTTTTATATACAGTAAATTTTTCAGAAATAGCTTTTGTAATGTTTTGCAATATACTGCTAGCCTGCTTTTTATATACAGTAAAGTTTTCAGAAATAGCTTTTGTAATGTTTTGCAATATACTGCTAGCCTGCTTTTTATATACAGTAAAGTTTTCAGAAATAGCTTTTGTAATGTTTTGCAATATACTGCTAGCCTGCTTTTTATATACAGTAAAGTTTTCAGAAGTAGCTTTTGTAATATTTTGCAATATACTGCTAGCCTGCTTTTTATATACAGTAATATTTTAAGAAATAGCTTTTGTAATATTTAGCAATACACTGTTAACTTGATTTTTATTTACCGTAAAGTTTTCAGAAATAGCTTCTGTAACATTTTTCAGTATTCTGCTAGCTTACAGATAGCTTGCATTTTATATACAGTAATGTTTTCAGAAATAGCTTTTGAAATATTTTGCAATATACTGCTAGCTTGCTTGTTATTTACAGTAATATTTTCAGAAATCACTTTTGTAATGTTTTGCAATATACTGCTAACCTGCTTTTTATTTACAGTAATGTTTTTAGAAATAGCTTTGGTAACATTTTGCAATATTCTGCTAGCTTACAGATAGCTTGCATTTTATATACAGTAATGTTTTCAGAAATAGCTTTTGAAATATTTTGCAATATACTGCTAGCTTGCTTTTTATTTACAGTAATGTTTTTAGAAATAGCCTTTGCTGTTTTGGAATATGCTACTAGCTTACTTTAAACATCATATGGTTAAATACACTAAAAACTAATTTTTTCTAAATAAGTCCTGAAGAAATAAGGACACAACTAATATGTCCATGACTTTTTATGTTGTCAAATAGTACAGTAAGTCCCTGAGTTAGTATAGTCCTGATGATTCATGGTTACAACACAGTCTCCATTAATCTTGTTTTGACTTTTGCCATTTGCCTCATAAATAAAGCAGCATTAGTCAGTTCCTGATTGTACACCATACTGGATTGTTGTGCATCCATTCTCTTTCATTTGTGTTGTGTTTGTGAAAACTTAATGCCCTTCACTATCTCACCCAAGCATAGTGCAATCTCTTCTTATGGTGGTGCTTTAAAGAAAAGGAAATCCATCATCATGGAAGTGAAATCAGACATTGTTAAACACTTCAAAAAGGGGCAAACAGTGACAGACATGGGTCAGTTGCTTAGCTTAATTTGTTTGATTGTCGCTTAAAACATGCATATATGTGTATACATATTTAGTTTCCCTGAAGAGATGAGGACATTTTCTTGTTAATCTATAAGTTGGTGAATTCCTGCTAAAAAAAGAAAAACACATTTGTTTTTCTTTCTTCTCCAGATTTGCTACTGCTTCTGAAGATGGCAAGAGAGACAACAGTGTTAAAATTACACCTTTAAGTGACGAATCTAGGTGCATCATCAGTGTCGTTGCTCCCATGTCATTAGAAGTTTCGGGTCTAAATAAACAACAGGTTTCTTCGATGGGCAACCCGACCGAATATGATCAGTATTCGGCCCGCACCCAGAATAAAAATTTGCTACTAGCTTTAGGACGTGCTTTATACAAGTTCTCCCAAAAATCAACTAATCAAGTCTACACTTAGGCTATTCGATGTTATAGATCGGATATGCTTGGTTTTACTGAATCTTCTACATGTGGCCAAGACAGGGTGTTGTTTTTAGGAAGAAGAAGAAAAAACAAAACTATTACTGGCAATAAATGTACAAGCAGCTTAAAACAATTTAATTTCATTATTATTTTCATATCATTTCAGTATGTATCCTCCATGTGTTTGTTTAGTCCTAATTATATTAAGATATGTCATAAAAATGTGTTATTATGTCGTAAGTTATTACTTTACTATTGCATTAGCTTAGGTAAGTGATGCAAGTGATTATTCACAAAAAATCGTGGATATGTTCCGACTTAAATGGAAAATTGGCATTACGACTCCTCATAGGAATGGAACTCTGTGGTAAATCAAGGACCCTCTCTGTATATCTGCATAGACCCTGTCAAGGTTCACAATGAGCTTAACAGTTTTTTACATTTGTTACTCTCCTGCCTGGGTGATAATTGCAGAAGAACAGTTTATCGAAGTGTTTACATACCAACCATATGTGAAAATATCAAATATTAAAAGATGTCAGTTGTGACAA